CAGCCACTTCACACAGCATGTTCCCTTCCCTTCCCTTCCCTTCCCTTCCCTTTCTCTTGTTTTCTTTTTCGAAGTATGGATGTTTTAATTCAACTCTGTGTAATGATTTGATGGATGAAACATCCTACTTCCATTTTTTAAAAAAGAGGTATTTTTAAAACCACGTTTTACACATATTGATACAGTTACCCTATGGAAGCAGCATGAATTGTGATTCCAAACAAGCTCTGGGCTGTCTGAAATTTGGTAGGATAGGTAGCCATAGCAACAGGTTTGTCCAATACAGTAGCTGTTGCTTGTGTTTCTCTTAGCTCATTCTGTCTCAAACAATTGTAACTCCTTCCATGACATGTTTGGGTAGGAGCTCCTCTCTGTCTGAAGAACTGTTCCAAACACTTGGCATATTCACGGCACATTAAAGGCGTTCCTTCTTCTTCTTCTTTTTTCATCCTTTAGTTTGAAAGTAAACCTTCACTTTGGCAAATCTCAGCTTATTTTCAGTTGCAGTTTGAAAGTGCTCGCTTTTTTGTGTCGTCTTCTTATCCTTCACTTTCGTCAGGCTTTTGGTTTCTTTTTCTTCTCCACGGTAACTTCCTACTGTATCTTCTGCCTTAAAAAAAAAAAAAAGTTGAGCTGAACTATTATCTCCCTGATGTATCATCTTTTATGTTTGAAGTTGTCTGCTTTTATTGATTTGTTTCTCTTGCTGGAAAGAGGTCAAGAAATCAGGAAGAAACACAGCTGGTTTGGAAAAGCAACTTGTAAACTGGAACAGATATTGGCATTGGTTTACAATATGATAAAATCCTTCCTCAGCCCTAAAGTTTTGAACTGACTCTTCACTCAAGGTGAAGGATGTTTCTGACCAATTAATGGAATGATATAAATCAGTACCACAGAATATAAAACCTAATGTTCATAACTGGCTGATTCACATATCAAAACAGATTTGTGCTGAACATTCTGCTGGAAATTGGAATAAAAATAAAATAGCACTTTTATGTATTGTGAATCCACACAATCACCTATTACTCTTAGCAGCCATTATTCATTCTATATATTAATAATGAACTCAGCCTCACAAAGTGGATCTCTCTATAACCAAAATGGCCCAGTCCACACACAAATAGGCATCAGTAGGCTTGGAGGAAGCCCAAGGATAACAGGAGGATTTTTTAAAAGCTTGAAAAGAAATCCTAAGAAGGAGAGGAAAACTGGAACAACCAATGAGCCATGAGCTTGCTCAGAGGCATGAAGTGCTAAGTGTTGGGAGGATGAAGAACTGGTATGGCTTACGACTTAAAACTTGTTCAAGAATATTTCACGTTATAAAATGTTGTTGCAAGTTCCACCAGAATAACATGGCTAAGAACTGAGCACAATTTTATAGTATCATTTGGTGCAAATAATAATCTTACGTAGAGAAGACGTTCCTAACATTTGCAGTGAGCATCAGTCATTAATTGTAACCTTGTATACATAATTTTGTATACCTACTTAATATTATCCCCTTTCAGGGGGAGCAACATTATGCAAAGTGAAAAAAATACAAGTAGTAAGCAAAAGAAATGAAAGGGAGGAGATAATTAGCCTCAGATGCTGCTACATGGCCAGGATCCAAAGAATACGACACATGCTCTGTTATTTTCATTGGAGTGCCATGTTTTTCAAGATTTCCCATTCTAAGTATAACTCCTGATGCTTTGTCTAATCATGCTTTTTGAACATTGACATTTTCATTTCTGTTTTGTTTTGTTCATATTTTCTGGGACACTACCATTTATTTACTTAGTCATTGACCTTTTTTGTATCCAGCTGCTCATTTGCAGATCTTTGAAGTGGCTGGAATCAAAATATTCAGACCCATGAGCATTGTCTGCAAGATTTAAATCCACTGTTTTGGCCCCATCCACTCCAGTGTTATCACGATCTTATCAGCCATGTTTTTGCTGGCCCCAGGCAGGATAAACAGTAAAAGTGGGTTTAAAGGAACCCTAGGAGTGACAGGGGTAACATTTCCCATCCTTACAAATTTAGATGCTAAATCGAGAAGAAATGCCAAAAGGGTCTCATACTGCAGATCCTGGCATTCCTTGATCTAATGGCCTCTTGCCCTGCTTATTTCCTTCCCCAGTGAGGATGAATGGGATGTTTTTATACGTGGGATGTTTTTATACATATACGTCTCCCAGTTTTTCTAGCCTTGGATCATAAGATTTTTCATTAGCCCTTCTATTGTTGCTTGGTTCTTCTTTGATCCCTTATACTTTGGGTCCTCATCCTTCCTTTGTTGCCAGATGATGCCAGGAAGGAATAATGTTATTAGTCTGTTGTCAAAGAATGTTGGATAAATGAATTCAGAACCGATGGAAGCTTCTTCTTTCCATAGAATGAAATTGCAGAGCTGTTGCTCTTTCCTGAATTGATGCCAATTAATTACAGTTGTTAAATACTGAATAAACAGACATCCTGTATTATGTCAGCTAATCTAGCCTGGATGTCTTTGGGTAACCTGACAATAATATATAATACAGAGACAGGCAGGAGTTGTTTCCCTCACGTATTATAAATGAATGCAGATTCTACTGCTATACCCTATAGGACATCACAGATGAAATACAAAGACACTTGTGTGTTTGGGGCAGCCTAGTCTCATCACAAGGTTCTGCGACTAAACAGAGTCTTCTTTCCATCCATTCTTCTACACTACTATTACACATAGCTGAAAGTCAGCTTTGTTGCCTAATATGCATCATACACATTTATCTGCAATTGTTTTTCTCAGTCATCTTATGTTACCATATTGAACAATTCAAAGTTACCCTCTGTTAAGAAGGACTGGGTGCAGTTACATTGAGCAATGCAGTGTACAGTATATCTCCTTTATCGAGAAATTAAATTGTAAGGACTGTAGGCCTGGGATGGGGGGGCGGGGACTGAAGAATAACAAGAGTGCATCATAAGGGAAGAACTTATATCAAGACATGTTCCAGAGGAAGGGGGTTTGTGAGAGGGGATTTTTCTACTCAGTGAATCCACACGTCTTCTTCAGTAATCCCCTTTTCTTCTTTAGGACTTAAGAGATGATAGTATCCAGGGACAAAAAAAGTTTATTCTGCTGGTGCTTCTTTAGATCTAAACCCTTTTATGTTTCTGCTGGTTATTAAGTTGTTACTAATTTTAAATGTTTTGGTATTATTGTAAGTAACTGCTCTTTTCAATAATAGTAAAGAGGACTGTTCAATGCTTTGGATTTGATTTAGAAGAGCTCTTTATAACATGAATGCTGCTCCTCTATTTGACTCATTAAAGCAGCTGCGTCTGTTTCCTGGAAGTGCACAATCCTGGAAACAGACACAGATGCTTTAATAAGTTGCAGATAGGCGTATTATGCTTTTAGAGTTTATGGTGTTTTATTAAATACTTTTATATTTTGGTTTTTAAACCAACTAGTAAGCACCTAGGCATGATTAAAAATATGAGTGCATTGTTGCTGGAAGAAAGCTGTTGCCTTCTGAGTATGTGTACAATTGTACTGTAAATAATGATTCTTTATTGTCCACTGAGTTTTTGTTTTGTTTTTTGAAATTGCTCCATGTAATGATTGGGGTGATGGAATTGCTAATCAAAATATGGCAGGACAAGTCACATCCCAGTTCATATTCTAAAAGGAGGGGGAAACTACAGAGACAGAGATTTGGGAGATGTGGTTGGAAGGATGGTTCTGAGGGAAGCTCATAGTCCTACCCTAGAAATGTCTCTGTCTGTCAGAGTGGCAGGTTTATGAATATAGTTAGTGCCAGGGAAGGCATGGATCAACAAATTTTATTTATTTAATTTATAAGTTGCCCAAATCCATCCCAACTCTGGGCAGGGTACAGCATTAGACAATTAAAAATGGAATAATACAAAGATCCTACAAAACAAACTTCTAGAAAAACAACACCAAAACATACGTACATCCAACAAGGGGTTTTCTAGCCGCTCTAGTTCAAGGCCTGGGGGAAGAACCAGATATTAAGGAGACATTTAAATAGCATCAGGGCAGGGGCCACACAGATCTCTGGGAGGACATTGTTCTAGAGGGCAAATGCTATGACAGCAAAGGCCTGCTTCCTGTGTCCTATCAGATGATGGATCCAATCATCCAATCGATGGGTTCTGAAACATGCTGACTCTGCCCAATTGTATAGGATGAATGGAAGCTATGGAAGACAGATGGTCCCACAAATAACCAGGCCCTATGCCATGAAGGGCTTTATAGGTGATAACCACCTTGAATTGCACCTAGAAGTCTACTGGTAACAAATGTAGCTTACAAGGCAGTGGTGTTAAATAGGTATACTGCGGCAGGCCCACAGCTGCAGCTGCTGAGTGATCTTCAAGGGCAGCTCCATATACAGTGCACTGCGATAATCCATGCATGAGATGACCAAGTCCACCCTACTCACACTATTCCCGCCCAGGCCATAGAACATATCCAATCATCCTATCAGCCCTTCGAGTAGTCCAGACAAGAAACCAAAACCATGAGTACTAACATTACCTTTATCATAAGGTTACAGTAACAGAATCTTGCAAGTCTGAAAGAACTTCTCCCTTTCCTCACCTTTACTTTCCAGAAAACTTGGGAGGGTCCCTTCTGAGATGCTTCCCATGCCCCCATTCCTTCTATGGGCTGAGGTATCTTTTGTCTGACCATAGTCTAGGCTGTGGCTCCTCCTGTCCCCCAAGGTTATTCCCACAGACTATTACACATCCTCACCCCCATGGCAGACCACAGCACCCTCCCCTAGTTGCTCCTGCACTCAGCCTGGTGTGTGTGTGTGTGTGTGTGTGTGTGTGTAAAATGCATGGGTCACCAAGCATCCACATCCAGCCACTCCCATCCACCCTCCTTCCTGGCCCCCACAGTAGGCATGGTCCAGAGAGGGATATAGTCACATCAGGTGAATCTGCTCCAAAGTAGTCTTAGTCCATAGAGAGCACAGGGTAGAAAAAAGATAAGCAAAAGACGAAAAAATCTGGTCAGATAGATGCAACAGGAACTATCTAATTCAGGTATGGAGGGCAAAAGGCAAAGGTGACAGCAGGGCTCAGGTCAGTAACAAGCTGTCTCTTGGTCTGACCCTGCTCCCACCACCCCAACTCCCTCAGGAGCACCACAAGTCACTCCTTCCAAAGCTCCCCTTTGGAGAAACTTCCCAGGAGCCAAAGAGACCACCAGTGCTCCTTCACCAAACCAGGGCAACGTTTGCACTTGGGATTCAAATGGAGAAGAAAGTAACTCAAGCTGGACCTGTTGCACACAGTGGCCAGCTATACTGATATGTGGGAATGACCTTGGGAGACAGGAGGAAGAGCCACAGACTAGACAAAGGCCAGACAAGAGGCAGCAGAGCCCGCAGAAGGAATGGGGGCATGGCAAATGTCTCAGAAGGGACCCTCCCTAGTTTCTTGGATTGTAAAGGTGAGGGGGGAGGTTTGTATTTTCAGACTTGCAAGATTCTGTTAATGTAACCTTACAATAAACATAAAGCTAATACTCCTGAGTATGCTTCTTGTCTGGACTACCAGGCTGGTAGGCAAGGCTGACATCAGCACACAATATAGACTTACTGTGATACTAAGCGAACCTGTCTATAACCCATTTTAAGTTATTTCATAAAAGTTCTTTCATTTCTTTTGCTTACTTGTTAACAAAGTGACTGTACCATCCTATATCTTCCTTATATTCCACCTAGTCCCGTTACCTCAGCAACGGAAAGGAAGAAAGAGAGAAAAGGAGAAAACAGAAGAACTTCTAAACCAGAAAAGGGTTTGCAGGTGGCAACAAGACAAATAGGACCTTTATGACTTGCCCAGATTTAATAGGATTTCACTTTGATTTTGAAGAATGAAAAGATAAGAAAAGGTACTCCTAATACAGACAGCATGAACACTATATAACAATATTCAGTGGGCGGTGGGGGATGTGTATCTGTTGCCAGCTAATTTGACATTTGTGGATCGGATATCAAAAAAGGTGAACACAAGGGAAGACACCAGGATAATTACAATTAATAAATGTTTATCAATTAAAATCCAATATTTAACAGTGAGACACTCGTCCTGGATTACCTGCAGTGAGCAAAAGTAGCTTTTAGGAGGAAATGCCATGGCATCTGCTCATAAAAGGGGTTGCCTCTATGGTGCAGATCTTATACTGTAGCCCCCCACTCCTCCCGCCACCCCTCGGAATGCTCACCCCAGCTCAGGGAAGATTAACTAGAAGGAAATTGAATGTTCAATTTACTTAGATTCTACAGTTAAAGAAGAGGAAAAGGACATGTAGGCAGACAATAGGGACTCCACAGAGAATGGTTCTTAGTAGCACCAGCTGTTTGCCTCGTTAAGCCATTTGGCAGTGAGGTACAAGCCACCGGGGAGGTGGAAGTCGATAACTATTAACTTATTAAGGTCAAAGTGGGGAGCTTGTTAGTTTGCGGCTCATGCTTCGTAAGCGAGCAGCGTGCTGCTCTGGAAAACAGCTTAGGAAGAGCTAGCTTGTTTAAGCAGCCTCTCTTCCTGGCATTAAAGTAGGTCAATCACAGAACAGTAGTAGCACAAGACCAGACCCAACTCTCTCAGAACAAGCAAACAAACAGTAAAATAGGTTGGGTCAAGATGGTGGCCACAATGAGGCAACTGAAGCCCCACCCAGTCTTTATGAGCAATGCCACATATAAAACAGGGGGCGCTTCAATCTCAGCGTCACAGCAGCCCTCCCCAGTTGCCTCTTCCTCCCCAGTTGCCTCTTCCCTTCACCTCCAGGCCATCAATATTGCCTTTCCCCCTTTCTCTTTCTTCCCCTTCCCGGCATAGATAACACTTTCTCTTACTCCAACTCCATCCTGTTTTTCTCCCCTTTTTGTGGGGTTTCTAATGGAAAAAAGGAGGAGAAGATGTGTGTTTGCAGAATGCCTTTTTGAAAGTGAGGGTAGTTTCTGTATGTGAGAGAGAATGGTTGAGATTGTAGGGCTATCAGTTCTGGGCTGCAAATGTCCAGGCAAATGGACCTTCCTGATAGCCCAGGTAACACAACATATATGCAGAATGGCAAATATCCATAAACATTTCCATGCACGTTGGCGAGTCAGATGCAGTCATTTATCGCTTTCACTTGGAATTGGCAACTCTTGGTTGATAATGCACAGTATTTATGTCTGTATTTTTCTATCTACTGGGTGGGGCGATTTGATTTCAGAGTCATCCTCTTTTGGGATAAATATGGTACAGTTCAACTACAAACCACTTTGGAAAAATTACACATTGCACTGGACACAACACATGTTTCTCCAAAGAAGCCCACTTCTTTAGATTTGGGCTTCTCCTGAAGTGAAATATTTAGGAGCCAGAAAAACTGATTTTAATTGTTAGCATATTGTCATGTTTTTAAGGAAAGAAGGATTTATAGGAACATAAATCTAGTTATCTAATCTCATTCACTGACATTTGTAGAAAAACAAAATAAAGGCCTTTGAAGTCTGTGTAATAACTGTTTCAGGAAAAAAAAAAACCCTGTGCAGTTTATATTCTTGGAAACATTGGGACAGAAGTAGTTATTGGAAGCTTCTATTTTACTTCAGTCAAGTATCTTTGTCGCACAATGGGAATATAAACTCTGATAACAGCAGCCATTTTACCCTTCATAACTGATTTAGAATGTACACTAATAAAGCAAAGAAGATGGGTTTAGTAATAAATGGAATAATATGGGACACTGATGATACATACAAATGAGAAAAGTTCTTGCTAGGCAGGAAGTTTATGATGTTACTGATATAAACTATCACAAAAAGTTTCCACTTGTGAATATTTCCCAAGGCTAAGGCTGAGTGATCCAACAAACAAATTGGGATGGGGAATGAGGAACTGTCTCCATAGGCTGTAACCCCTCTGCACAGACAATCAGAAACCATATAATTGCAGCTGTACTTTCCAGGCAACATAACCAGATCATATAAACTGGAGGATACACCAGCAAGAGTGCATAGAGATGGTGCTGATAAAGTCATGAGGAGAAGAACATTCCCTGCACCATAATATATTCCATATGCTAGTCCCAAAGTGCTGCCAATTGCAGAAAGAAAGGGAGAAACCTTGCAATTAATCAGATTGCCTCCAGTCCCAATGCTAGTTAAAATGTACCTTTGCATGCTTCTTGAGTGCACAAGCAGGGCCCTGAAGCAAGTGGAGAGTAAAATGTTGACGCTGAGAGTATCTGAAGCAAGAACTCCCACAGCATCTTATGCTTGATAAACAGGACGAGTCTAATCTGAAATAGTAACTGACCGTTGTAGCGCTGTTATTCCTAAACTCAGTTGTCATGTATCTATGCAACAAGATCAGTGCTACACTGCCTGCCCTATATGACCAGCAGCAGCCCCATTCCTCAAACATGTCTCATGGTAAAAATGATTTACGTTGAGGATAATAACTGGGGCTGGGGTATCGGCACCGAATGGTGACGTGAGGAAAGATTGCTTGTCTGTTCTTGGAGTAAAGAGTCCTTGCAGGGTTTTAAAACTGTATTTACAAACCTGACATGCCTGTTGCAAAGTAGAAAAGTAGAAAATAAAGAAATGAAGTCCTAGATGCAATAATTGTAAATTCGTTGAGATGGGGTAAGAGAAGCACTATTTGGGAACATGGTGGTCTTGTTTCAAAATCCTTGCTTTTGCTTGCAGCTGACTGGCTGTTTAATGTTGTTTTCTTAAAGTGCAAAAGTTCTGCATTTTTCATTGACCATGTTCCAGCGAGAGAGTCCTCCATTTGTTTATACAGAAGAAAAGGCATGAGTCCTGACAGAAAACAAACTTACTTATTACTTCTAAATAAAAGTAGCTATGTGAGCAAGAAAAGTTTTGAGATACCAGGGGCTTCCAGGTGAGGCATTTATTATGCAATCACCCTGCTTTATTCATGGAATTTTACAGGAGGGAGTGATTATTTTGATTTTGCAACCCTCTGTTTGTGTTTTTACCATACTTCTGCTTCCTCCTCCTCCTCCTGAAAATCTGCTAAGGCAAGAAATATGAAATCATTCCACAATTTCTTTCCACCCATAATTTTTTGCTGAATCAGATGAGGTGAGAAAGGGTAGGGGTGGCGGGAAATAATCCCACAGCATGTAAACCACTAGTTTAGCACTTGTGATTCAAGCAGAGAAGGAAATTGCTTGAACCTGAAGCAGAAAAAAAGAAAAAGGGCTGGCTAGCTGCCAATGATAATTCACCTGAATACAGGTAGTCCCCAGTTTAAGGATGAGTTCTGTTCCCATTCCTTAAGTTGAATTTTGTATGTAAGCCAGAACAGTATTATTGTTATAGAAATCAAGTAATTAAATAAATAATAAATTGTGTAATTAACTTGAACCATTGCAGATTTAACTTGAATCATTGTGTATTTAACTCAGATTTTACCACAATAGGCTGTGTTCTTAACTATGGATTGTACATAAACCAGGCGTTCTTAACCCAGGGGCAACCTGTGATAGCTGGGGGGGTTAAAAAAACAAAAGCAAAATCCTACGTGTTGAAATGTGCATATATTGCACCATGCTCTTACCTGTTCTGCAAAAATACTTCCTCCCCTTCCTTTTATCTGACAGCTTTCAAGTCGGAAGGTCTTAGGCTGCAGTTGTTCAGGGTTCCTGATTTATTGCCCTGTGAAACTGACTTCATGATATTTGAAACTTTGCCCTACTAGAACTGATTAGAGAACTGTTTCGTTCTGATTCTAGTATAAAAGCTGATCTAGTTTCCAGTACAGGCTGAGTGATGACAAGCCGCATGTCAAGAGTTGGGAAGCTTTTCAAATCAGGGGTTGCATGTCCTCAGAGGAGAAACCTATACATTACAGGGCAAATACGCTTTGGGAGGCAATTTGCATCAGAGAAGAAATAGAAGCTTTTTCTTTGATTTCTTTAAATTCATTCACATCATTGCAGAAGGGCTAGCACTTCTATTAGGCAGGGTGAGGTGATCACCTCAGACAGATGTTGTGTGCCAACCTCTGTAATCTTAAGGTGCAATGGTGATCAATTCAGTTAATTTTTGTAGAAGAACAGTAGAGGCCACTGTTTATTCTTCACCTCAGGCAGCAAAGGAGCTAGGTGTAGCCCTGCCTGAGGGATTCACAAGCAGGAAATAATGGAAATAGTTATTTCCTACTCTTTGTTCCCACTGTCTCCTGTACTTCCGCTGTTAGTTCCATTGGCTAATTTGGCCAATAGCTGTAAATGTATCTAAACTTTTTTTAAAGCTGCATTATGATCATTGATATGTTTCATATGGAATTCTCTTATCTCTAGTTATGCAAGCAAGCAATTAGGGAGTATGGAAGGTTGCTGTGCCAAATAATTTTTCTAAGCTATGCAGACTACGGTGCCTACCATTTATATTTTGCTAATATGAAAGTTTGGGAAATGTAATACTGTAGAATCACAGAGATGCATTAAAAAAACTCTAATAATTGATCATTGTAAATCAACAATTATAATTAGCAACTGTAAATCAAAAATAGCAAGTTCTGTATTTGGGTATAAAACATAAGAACAAACTACATAAGGTAGTCAACAGCATCAAATCTTTCACCTTCATATTTGGATTAACACTGTTGAAGACAAAGGGCAGGGCTTTTCATTTGATCCATCAACAGTTCTACATAAGTGCTTTTGTTACTAAAGAGGAAAAGGAGAAGAGAACATATTTATTGACATTTTCCAGAATATTTAAAAGCATCATCTATAGGTGTTTGAGTTTCTGCAAAGTTTTTCATTGCAGGAAAGGCATTTGCATTACTTCATTCTGCTTCCAAAGGCAGAATGAAGATACTGTATCTAGGGAACATCTCATTTCATTTCCAAGCAAATTAGCACACAAATACTTCAGTTTTCCTTTGGCCATTTTAATATTCATGCCCCATTTACTCTTGCTACAAAATGCTTTCTAGGAAAAAAAAAATTAACCCAGAGTTCATATAATGTGCCAAATACTCAAGGCAATACAGTATGTTTGTCATCCTATATGAAACAGCTAAGAGCATTTCTTTCAGTTTTCATTTAGTCTCATTATATTCTGCTTCTCTGACCCAAAATGGTATCTAAGATACATACAGTATTCAACTCATATTCCTCTCTTTGCTGCTATTTGGGTATAAAAATGTAGGCGCATTAACATTAAACACATAACTCTAGAAGATAAACATACTCTGTTTATTTTCCTTGTATTTCATGGGTGCGCAACATTTTTCAATCTAAGGATTGTACCTGGCTTTTGAGTAGCTGGCCAGAGTCTGTACTCCAAAAAGGAGGTGAACAAAGCAGTGGGTGGAGCTAGAACGAAAATTAAATTTGATTCATATGATTATATCTCACTCAATAATTCCCTGCCATCTTCTCAATCAAGGATCCTTTGCTTAAGCACTGCCATTGTCCCAAGAGCATTTAATATTTAATTCTGTGGTTGATCTGAATGCAGAGTCAAAATTGAAAAAAATTAGGTGCTATTTAGTGCTTTAATTATGGAGGAAAACACAGTAAACAGTAGGAGAGAAACTACCATACTTAAGAGATATTGAACAAATGGTCAGGAATATTATATCCCTTCATTTTCTCAATATATTTTCATTATATTAGTTTACATTACCATGTTTCCTCTTTCTCTGTCCTTACAATGGAGCCAGGACCTTCCCAGTAATGAAATGGTACAAGGACAGTGTTAGGAATTAAAATATAAACATTGTTTATTTCCTTGTCCTACTTATTAATGTAGGTCACAGCTTCTGGAGCCTTTGAGAGAAAGTGTGTACTAGAAGCTCTGGTATAATTTAAGTGGTAGACATTGGGGAAGGAACATATTGCTAAAGCATGGATTCTGGACAACAGAATTAAAAACAATTAGTGAAAAGAGATAAAAGAAGTTTTATTGTTTTTGTGGCTCCTGACTAATTTGTTGTTGGGAATGCTGATGAGTAGGCTGATGATGAATGCTGCAGGCCAACACTGCTACGAGCCAAGAGATTAATCCTGTGCCATCCTTACAATGAGAATGGATGAGAAAATAGAAACTATCATGAAGATTAGTAGATCGGATTAATGATAGCCCTGGCAATAGACTAGTGAGGCAGATGACGTACTGTGATGTCTACTGCTGTCAACTTATTATACAGATTAAAAGTGAATATGTAGACCTGTAAAATTCATTAAATTTGTAAACCATGAGTTAGTATAATACTCTAGAATTCTTTCTACAGCAGTACTTCTATATGAAATAGCTATCATCCTATTCACAGCTGTTAGGTAAAAAGAAAATAGTGGTTGGGTTGCTTGGATTATTCTGATAGTTTCACAATCATCAAAGAGTCTTCTGATTCATTCCAGGTTCTTCTTAACATAGTACTGAGAGAGAAATTAATTAAAAAGCTTTTCAGAAGGTCCAATATACATACTGAAATAAAGGATATTTCTGTTTTTTATTTATCATGGCTTTCCTAAGAAGAGTGCAGAATGGAAGACACAATTGTATTGAAGCAGTTTTATCAACTCAGGGAAAGTACAGCAGCAGGCCTATACAGGATCACTCTAAGTAGCAGTTCTGACTGTAGTCTACATTGATGTGAATACTGTTTTGCAAACTGGTAGTGTTGGGATTCAAGTCCAGGAATTTCCAACCAACCTGGCCACTAGTTGGGGATTCTGAGAACTATAGCTCCAGTGCATCCAGAAGAAACTAGCCTGCAGAGGTGCTCATGACTGGGAGGTCAAAAAAAGTCAAGATGGTGGCCATGGCCATGCTACTGAAGCCCTGCCCCTTGTGTGTGTAGTGCACATAACAAAGGGGCAGGGCTTTGATCATATGATCACAACCACCATCTTGACCATTTTTGCCCCACAGGCCCCCCTGCTAGGCAGGTACAGCTGCCATAGAAGCCAACATCTTTAATAGCATTTATGCTAGGTCCTCATAAAATAATAATAATAATAATAATAATTATTATTATTATTATTATTATATCTGCACTCAATCGTTACCGATTCTGCA